TAACATGTGCTGGATTATGGAGAAAGCCAGAGAGTTCCAGAAAAACATTTTCTGCTCCATTGACTACACAAAAGTCTTTGACTGTGTGGACCACAGAAAACTATGGCAAGTTCTTAAAGAAATGGGAGTGCCTGACCACCTTATCTATCTCCTGAGAAATCTATAAGATTGTCGGAAGAAATCTCAACAATCTCCGATATGCAGATGATACCACTGTGATGGCAGAAAGTGATGAGGAATTAAAGAACTCCTTAATGAGGGTGAAAGAGGAGAGTGCCAAAAATGGTCTGAAGCTCAACATCAAAAAACAAATAAACAAACAAAAACCAAGATCATAGCCACTGGTCCCATCACCTCTTGGCAAATAAATGGGGAAGATATGGAGGCAGTGATAGATTTTACTTTCTTGGCTCCATGATCACTGCAGATGGTGACAGGAGCCATGATATTAATAGACGCCTGCTTCTTGGGAGGAAAGCGATGACAAACCTTGATAGCATCTTAAAAAGCAGAGACATCACCTTGCCAACAAAGGTCAGCATAGTCAAAGCTATGGTTTTTCTAGTAGCAATGGATGGAAGTGACAGCTGGACCATAAAGAAAGCTGACTGCCGAAGAACTGATGCTTTTGAATTGTGGTGCTGGAGGAGATTCTTGAGAGTCCCCTGGACTGCAAGGAGAACAAACTATGGAAAGGAAATCAACCCTGAATGCTCACTGGACGGACAGATCCTGAAGCTGAGGCTTCAATACTTTGGCCATCTCATGAGAAGAGAAGACTCCCTGGAAAAGACCATGATGTTGGGAAAGTGTGCAGGCAAGAGGAGAAGGGGATGACAGAGGATGAGATGGTTGAACAGTGTCACCAAAGTGGCCAACATGAATTTGACCCAACTCCGGGAGTTGCTCTGGTCCATGGGGTCAGGAAGAGTCGGACACAACTTAACGACTAAAGAACAACAACAAATGGATAGAGAAAGGGTAAAATTCCTGAGAGTGAAATAGTACATTTAATTGTACATTCAAGCACAAAGAGAGATAAAAAGAAAAACAGCAGATTTGCCCAGTATTACTATAGTTACCATTTTATGTACTCTTTAATTGGACTTGACAATTCTTCTTTAATCTATGCTTTCCAAGCTTTCTTTCGAGTCTAATTATAAAATTATTCCCTATATTTGTGTCCTTTTAAAGGTAATCTTTGTTTATTACTTCTGTTTTCTCCAACTCTACAATTTCCCATGTCTTTTCTGTCAGATCTTCTAAGCCTGGGATATATGTTTTCCTCTAATATTGTCCATCTAATAACTTAACTGGCAGCTCTTTGACTAACTCATTCGGAAAACTCTAACAGAGATGAAATCTCAACCTACCATCTCTGAGCATATTCTGCAGCCCTCATTTTGGAATTTGCTTTAAACAAGGAACATGATCCACACATTCACCTACGGACTGTGGAACTGCTATGTGTTTTTCTGTACTACCGCCAGCTTTGTAATGCCCAGCCCAACAACACCTCCTATGGAGTTTAAAGTTAGCTTCCATGTGGTTAAAGATATCACCCACCTTTGTCTTCAGATTGTATAGAAGGACTATATGGCTTTTTTTCCTTTTTGCTGGAGTTTTTTCTGTATTATGATACATCCTGAAAGGCTTTTACATTTGAGATTGGTTGCATTTCCAAATAATTTTGGTTCTGACAGTCATACTGTAAACACATGTGTTGTTTGAACCAGCACTGGATTATTATCAATTTCTTGTGAACGAAACAGATATGGAGAGCCCTGCAGATTTCCTTTGTCCAGGGGTATGTTCCAACAGTGTTCCAAGTATCTTCGCTTGGGATATTTTCTCTGTTTCCAGCTGCATAACACAGCTTCAAATCAGGATTACAGAAAGATTTTATGTGGATCTGTCCATATAATGATTCCAAGCAAAGAACTTCTCTGTGACCTTGTCCCTTTCCTTGGTTTGCATTGCAAGCTACGCATTATTTAGGCCAGTGCTCTGGTCCCACACGCAGCACATGTTGCTTTTACATCCTAAATAACATCCTGATTGTTCTTTCCGCTTCTGAAGAATAACATGCTTGTCAGATATATCTCATCATTTCCCATGTAAGAAGAATCCCACTTCAACAAAGAAAGGGATAGTATTCTGCTTCCATAGTGGTTGATTTAATGCCTATGGATACCCAAAAGTAGGCTATCAGTGCAGTTGCACCCTCACAGTTGTGTTCCCAAGTAACATCAGAAGCACATGAGCTGTAATATCGGAGATAATGTATAGTCATAATATCTACTATCCATTGATAGTCTTGACCTCCGTGCAAGTATATAATGCTGCTTTGGTAACATTTTTCTCTCTGTTTTATCTACTTGTGTAACTTCTGACACAATTAGGCATTATGTAACCAATGCAATATCGGCATAACATTGTTTCGCTAGTTCAGTGTCCTCTTGAAAAAGACACTCTGGTTCTATTTTTGTATATATTTCACAGACAAATGAAAAAGGCATAAATCGAGAATGGTGTTCTTCTGAAGCTGTCTAACATGTAGGTTATATCTACATGGTTTTTATGAATAAATCTGCCCTTTGGATTCATTGGTTAGGCTTGATAAATGTCAAGTGTTCATGTTGCAGTGTTAGCCATCCCAGGGGAAAAACAAATGTGCAAAAGCTCCCAGAGGGAAACACTAATGGATATTGGTGGCCTCCCAAAGGAAGCTGCTTGTATCGATATTTAAAACCTAGGGTATATATATATTTTCACCTTCAGACATTCACTAAGTTTTATTTTGAATGTTACAGGCCACATTTGTGACAGTCACCATATTTCAGCCCTAAGTTTACCGTGAGCTGCTGTAATAAGGAAAGAGTCTAATCCAGAATCCCCCAGCTAGCACAACAACAGGCCAGGGTGACTAGGGTGTTCTGGGAGTTGTAGCCCTGTCCCAAAAAATGTTTTCGAAACACTGGCTTAGGCTTAAGTTAGGAAAATTTTTCCTGTTCTCGTGACCCTGGACCTTTCATGTCCAAACAATAATTACCTAGCTTTCCGTTAAGAGGCCGAGCGGGAAATGAGTTTTGTTATGTTCTAGATTTTGAACTATTATCTTCTTTCCCTCTTACTGACTGCATTTTACACTTTGTTCCTAAGTAATATTTTGCCTGCAGCCATTTGCAGCCCAAGAGATCTTATCTTTGATTGGTTTCTCAAAAATGTTTCTCCATCTCTCTTCAGGGACCTCCAGGCAAGCCTGGCCTGGGTGGACTTCCTGGTGCTGATGGCCCTCCGGTAAGTAGCATAACCATTTATATATATGAGCATGGGATTTTGCAGATCCATGCTCATATAATTTTAAGAAAAAAAATCACTTTGCAGATCCATGCTCATGAATTTCAACAAGGGAACCACATCACTGATTGCGAGGAGCAGAACTTGTAAAATATATACAGTTTCATTATTTGAACTTGATCCATGTTTCTCATCCAGGGCTTTAAGTTTCAGAAGGAGTCATGGAAAGGGCAAATGTGAAATGGCAGCAAAACTGAAGTTGTTGTTTTTAAAAAAGCAGTTAGATATCTAACCTGTTCAGTCTAGTACAGATTTAAAGTACCGGAAGTGAACATGATAGAAATGTTAGGAGAGAGCTGTCTTATCAGATAAATGTGAGTCATTGCTTTCTTGGCAGTATTGCACTCCACCTCCACCTCACCAGATTGCTGGATGAGGCTTCTTATTGTACTTTATAAATTCTTGCTTCAAACATGCTGCACAGTTACCTGGGACATCTTTCGTTCACCACAGGGGTTTAGCAACTGGTTAATCAACTAACAGTCAAATACAGTAAGGCTGTAGTACACTCAGTGAGTGAAATCCAGTAGCAAGTTACAGCTAGAGTAGCCCCATTGAACCAGTGGAGCTTATAGGGGACTTGACTCATCAAATCCACACTGATTCATTGGGCCTCCACTAGTGGTCATTTAACCGCTGGATTTCACCATTGTGTATGTGTGTTAAAACCAGTTGAGAGTTCCAAAAGAAAAGAGTTCACTGAAAGAGATTAATCACTAGGTTAAAATAATAGATGCCTTTCTTGGTCATCTAATTTTACAACTAATCCGAATGGGATTTATACTGGATTTTCCATGGGTTGTTTGTCTGGGCTAAAGAGTGGTCATACCGCTGCCATGCATCCAAAGACTAATGGATTGCCTTTATAACACCCTCCTTTTTTGTTGTTGTTTTGTTTTTTGTTTGTTTTGTTTGGTTGGTTCTGTATCTTCTGTCCCTTCCTCTGTGAGGTGGAGGCTAGCAGCCTAAAGGTTAAGTTCAACATTACTGCTATCTAGACCAAACATACTGAAATCAAGGGGACTGAAGTCAGTTGTGACTAACAAATCTCATTACTGTAGGTGAGACTAACGTTGGATGTAACCCTCAGTCTGCAGATGTCTAGGCTTTTGTTATGGCTTTTTATAGACTGAAGGAAATAGAGTAGAGGATGGAGCTGATGCCAGAATGCAGCTTCTAGCATGACTCTCCCCAATATTTTAAGTCACTTTTTAAGGGTACTTTTTAGGACAAGGTGAGGTATAAAAGAAAGAAAGGAAGGAAGGAAGGAAGGAAGGAAGGAAGGAAGGAAGGTGATCTAGAGTCTAGAAGAAAGAGTAAAGGAAATATGTTAATGAATTTAGAAAGCTTCTGTGTCTACTCAGAAGTAATTTCCTTCCAGTTTTGTGGGGCTTACTCCCAGGTATATGTGTATTGGACTGCCAAAATCACATTAAAAACTAATAATTATTCTAATATTTTGAAGATGGCTACAGGGACAACAAAATGAAAGATTTATTATACTCTTCAACAGCTTGTAGATTTAGCTCAAGTAGGAGAACCTTACGGCTATTGATTTCCACATGCTATATTTCCATTACTGTTTTGTTTCATCTTGTTGTGTCGTAACTTTAATGGTGTGCTCAGCGTAATGTTCAGTGACAGATAAAAATAATCAATTGACATCTCAAGAGAAAAAAATGCAAGTGTTTTACATGTGTTTGCACTATTTTAATGGAATGACTTGGACTGAAAACAAAACAGCAGCTTCAGAAATGGCTTTTTACTTTGAGTAGTAATTCATCATTTCAAGAAAAGCTAGTTAAAACACTTAATGCTGTCAATGTGATTAGATCAATCCCTTGAGATCTCCCATTGCTTTCTCAAAATGATTTAAAAAATTCCATATGAAGCTGGATTTTGTGGCTTATTATTTCTAACTGCTGCAGAAGTCTAATGTATGCCTGAGGAGGAACTAGAAGTTATGGGAAACATGTAATTGTTACCCAAACCAGCAGTACTATGTCCCTCTTTTTGGTCTCCTCTGCTAGCATCTAGTAATGGAAAATGAATGATGGGATATCATATAAATGCAAGAACAAAATTAATGCAGGAAAAAAGAGAAAGGAAGAGAGGCAGTCCAGTAGATTATGATGGCACCCAAGTGCCGCGTTTCCACTATCCTCTGCTCACATAGTATGAGCCACTGAAATGGAGAATGTTGAAAATTTGCACAGCAGTTATATTATAAAACAGTGGTTTCCCAACTTTAGGTTCCCATATGTTCTTGAATGACAACTCCTAGAAATCCTGGCCAGCACAGCTAGTGGTGAAGGCCTCTGGGAGTTTTAATGCAAGAACATCTGAGGAGCCACTGTTATAAAAATGATTTCCATTTTTGATTTTTCATTGTTGATGGAAGAGGAGGCAACATATGTGCCATTGGCCAGGATCTAACTGGACCATGTACTGGGGCAATGTGTCCTTGTTGGTCCTCCTCGACATCTCAGCTGCCTTCGATACCGTCGACCACGGTATCCTCCTGGAGAGGCTCTCCGAGTTGGGAGTCGGTGGTCTGGTGCTTGCCTGGCTCTGCTCCTTCCTGGAGGACCGTCACCAGAGAGTACAGATTGGGGAGAATGTCTTGGAGTCTCAATTGTGGGGTTCCACAGGGGTCGATCATCTCCCCAATGCTGTTTAACATCTACATGAGGCCGCTGGGCAGGGACATCAGAGCATGTGGGGCATCGTGTCACCAGTACGCTGATGACACACAGCTCTACATCTCTTTTACTCCAACTTCAGTGGATGCTGTCCAGTCCCTCCAGTGCTGCCTGGAGACTGTACTGGAATGGATGCAGTCAAATGGATTGAGGCTGAACCCGGACAAGATAGGTTCCCATATGTTCTTGAATGACAACTCCTAGAAATCCTGGCCAGCACAGCTAGTGGTGAAGGCCTCTGGGAGTTTTAATGCAAGAACATCTGAGGAGCCACTGTTATAAAAATGATTTCCATTTTTGATTTTTCATTGTTGATGGAAGAGGAGGCAACATATGTGCCATTGGCCAGGATCTAACTGGACCATGTACTAGGGCAATGTGTCCTTGTTGGTCCTCCTCGACATCTCAGCTGCCTTTGATACCGTCGACCACGGTATCCTCCTGGAGAGGCTCTCCGAGTTGGGAGTCGGTGGTCTGGCGCTTGCCTGGCTCCGCTCCTTCCTGGAGGACCATCACCAGAGAGTACCGATTGGGGAGAATGTCTTGGCCCCGTGGAGTCTCAATTGTGGGGTTCCACAGGGGTCGATCATCTCCCCAATGCTGTTTAACATCTACATGAGGCTGCTGGGCAGGGTCATCAGAGCGTGTGGGGCATCGTGTCACCAGTATGCTGATGACACACAGCTCTACATCTCTTTTACTCCAACTTCAGTGGATGCTGTCCAGTCCCTCCAGTGCTGCCTGGAGACTGTACTGGAATGGATGCAGTCAAATGGATTGAGGCTGAACCCGGACAAGACGGAGGTCTTGAGGGTGGGTGGCCCTCCCATCAGCAGCATAGGTGACTCCCTTTCTTTTGGAGGGATGACCCCTGCCACAAAGAGTGAGGTCCGCAGCTTGACCTAAGTTTTTTTCTTTCTTTTTCTTCTGGTTTTTAATTTTGCCATCTTGGATAGCATTAATTATAATAATTGCACTATGCTCGTTATTTATACATTGTTTTAATGTGTTTTAATCTTTGTAAGCCGCCCCAAGTAGACGTTGTCTAGAGGAGTGGGGTAAAATCGAATAAATAAATAATAAATAAAAATACTGGTGTAGGAAGCATGTTAGAAGACTTAAAAGGTTGATTTCCCTATGTAGTCCTTTGCAGGATCTGCTTTGGAGAGCAAGGAAGCTCCTCCACAGGACAATTTGGGTAGCATAATGGGTTGTGGGAGGAGGAAGTATTAGTGGGGTGAGAAAATATCAACACATTGTGGGTGGAGGAATAATGTACCATGGTGGGCATACAGTGGCTATGTGTGGGGATAATTTTCTTTTTTCTTCTGGATCTGCTGGCAGGGGATTGGATCTTGGCCATGGTGTCTCACCCCAGCCACAGTATTTTGGTATAGACAAATGAACTGGAAAGGACATCTGAGAAGTTTGTTTCTAAAAGGTTCACACCTACTTTGCAGTAGTTCCTATACAACTGTTGTTCGAAATTTTTTTCATTAATTTTCCAGAGTATTTCCATGAGATTTAGAATGGACCAAAAATAGTCTTTATTTGATGTCGGGACAATAGAAATTTGGATCAGTAAAATTTTTCAAAGAGAATGAGTTTTCAACTTTTCTACATCAGCTAAAAATAGTATAAAATACAGCTAGTTCAAAAACTGGGCCAGATGTTTTGCCGATGGCTCATGAATCTAAATTGACAATAGGCAAAATTGAGTTTAGATTCGACATAACAAAAAAGTTACAAAGGCATTAATTCACAGTTTCTCCCCCTTCTGTAAACAAAAACTGGCTTGACTCCCACTTAGATCTGCTAATTGCTATAAGTAAAGCTTCATAGATTTCTTTACATGCTTGCAATTTTAATAAAAACAAAAAGTGAAGCAGAGTCTCATTCTTCACATCAACAAATAATAAACCATGGTACCTCTACAGATTAATATAATCAATTACAGCTCAATTGGTAGTAATATTTAGGGGTCTGAGGTTCAATCTTGGAAAAGCCATTTGTCATGACAGCAGAATTTTTCCAAAGCAGCCATGAGTGGAACATCTGGTCAACTTGGAACTGTGTTTTTATTAATGGATTACAGAAGCATTTTATGTATTTTTTTAAACATGAAATTCACTACTAATACCATGGTTCTTTGCTTTGCTTGTTAAATTGAACTTCTCTTCAATTTGCTTGCAAATTTACATCAATCCTACAGTCATGTCTTCAAAAGTCCTGGAAATTGTAGTTTGGAGAGTTGCTGAAAATTGTTTTAGTTTTCTTCAGTATTTCCCAAGAAATTAAAGTACTGTAACTGCTTTGGGAATTGAGACTAATTGTTGAAAGTTTCTACCATAGGCATTCCTTGTCTTAAAAATAATTACAGCAGCTGAAATCCTGTTGCATAGCATAGTAAGACACACTACAGTAGGCCCACTGAACCAGTGGAAATTTGGCGAATCTCCTCTATAAGTTCCAGTGTTTCAAATGGGCCTACTCTAGTTGACACTTACTTTAGTAAAGCATTCAAACTAGAGTAAACTTGTTTTAATCAATAAAATTTACAGAGGAGTTCGCTCACCAAATTCCCACTGATTCAGTGGTCCTACTCTAGTATGACTTACTATGCCAAGCAACAGGATTTTAGCCAATGTGTGACTGAGAATCAAGCTGAGTGCATTTATCTGTTGATACGTTTGCATTCAGTTAAAGATATGTACTGATATCTAATTGTTCATGTATAATCTGCTTCCCTCCCGATATATTTTGTAAATAGGGACATCCAGGGAAAGAAGGCCAGTCTGGAGAGAAAGGAGCCTTGGTATGTGTGTATCATTCTCATTATATGGAGCATGGAACATAATCTAATGACACCTATTATGTTTTAAAATAAAATCAAGAAAGATACTCTGCTTGCAAAGAATTATAACCAGAGGGTCTGTTTTGAGCTGATGTTTCTTATACTGTTGAATAACAATGAAAACATACATTATTTTAGATATAGGTAGATGAAATGTGGCATATGTGTTGAAATGTGGATTTCCCCTTTTCTTCACAACTACTACTTCCACAGTTCTTTTCTCATATATAATGTTGCTTGGTCCTCTTGCATCTGTTCTCAATTTTACCTCAAGCTTTTACTCAATTTTTTGCAGTAGTGTCAGCTGTGGCCATGATAAAGGGGCTTTTCCTGAGGTGAAAGGTTGTAAATTTGTTTAATGCAATCACTTATTTCTCAATTTTCTCGTGGCATCTCACCTGCCTGAGGTGACAAAATATTGCAGTACAAGAAGACTCACAGATGTACATGCTTTCTTGCTCACAGGCAGGTAAGATATCATGTGGAAAGGTGAAAAGTCCATTTTAATATCCCCAGGCTGACCTATGAACAGTAGCAGTTTCCAGTTCGTGGATTATTCCTTCAAAATCCATGTGGATACTTGCATACCAGTTACGAATTATTTTCCCACAGCTTTTCTATGTAGTCACCCCTCTTCCTTAGAAAAAAGGATTGTCAAGGGAAAAATATTAATTTCAGATAATAATTAATAATCCATCAACCTCAGAGCTGTTCTCCAAAGCAAACAGAAATTTATTTCAGATTATGATCAAGCAGTAGCACAGTGCCCTCAAGTCCAATCTGGACAAAGGCATCATTCCCACCCCACCCCCCAAATCACACATTTTTATTTGTCACAATATGTATCAATCATTTGTTCTTCACATGGACATCTTCAGTTAGGCTACAAGATTTACAGAGTGCAATACATTTTACACAGTACATTTTGTGTTATGGAATTGACTTCTGGCTAAGTTCCTCTTTTTAATACATCTGTTGTAGTATAGTGGGGCCTCGCTTAATGAGGATAATCTGTTCCAGTGAAATAGCTGTAGAACGAAATCCTCGTTAAGTGAAATAAAAAAGCCCATTGAAACAGATTGAAAACCCTTCAATGCATTCCAATGGGCTGAAAACTCACCGTGCTGCGAAGATCCTCCATAGGGGCAGCAATTTTCGCTGCCTGTAAAGCAAGGAATCCGTCCTAGAAAACAGCAGGAGACCATTGTGTACACCCGGTGGCCATTTTGAAACCCGACGATCAGCTGTTTTAGATCGTCGTAATGCGAAAATTGGTTCCTGAGGCAGGGAACCGATCATTGTGAAGCGGATTTTTTCCATTTAAACCATCGTTTTGTGATCGCAAAAACCTAATTGTCAAGTGATTTCCTTGTTAAGCAAGGCAATCGTTAAGCAAGGCACCACTGTAATTAATTTCCTGACTGCTACAACAATTTCTCAATAGCTGCTTGCTCAAAAGCTTACGCTTTGCAGACTAAGTCAAACTCTATGTTCCATGTGCCTATTATTAAGATATTTCTTGATTAGTGAGGTTAATAAAAAAATTCTAACAATAGATGAACAATAGATCAGAAGTGAGAAATATTACTTAGAATAGGTGCCAAAGCACCAAGCAGCAGAAGAACTCAATTTGTAGGCCATATCCTATGTATATAAAAGGCTCCAGATTCAATCTCAGGCATTTCCAGGTAGGGCTGAGAAAAGCTTCTGTTTCAAACTTGGTGGGAGAGCTGGCCATCAGTCTAGGCAGTCCTAAGCTGGATGAACTGAAGGCTCTGCTCATTAAAGAGCAGTGTCCTTGCTCGAATTTAAACCAAGTCTCATACATGTTTTGTCAAATCTCATACTTGTTTAAAAATCTCGAGGGAAGCAGATTGCAGGTTTTCTTCAGACATCCTTTCCCACCTGTTAACTCATTTTACAGTGAAGAAGAATTTCTGGAAATTCATGGAAGAATCTGTTTGGCTACAAACTGGACCCATCACGTACTCCCCCCTCATCTTTTCTCGAGTATGCACTGCTTGACATTTATTGATTGTAACTCTTTCAACAATTCCATCTGTGTTTTAAATATGGAAGAAGAGGGTTCAGAGTGCTTCCAGAGTAAAGAGAGAGGAGAGACTATTTTCTCTGCTGTGTATAGCCTGAATCTCCAGGTTCTTTCTGTTTATCAGATATTAATAGATCATATAGTTAGAATGAAATGGCATTGCCTCACCTGTCTCCACCCATTAGACATCCCACTAATCGATTCACCTGTCACATCATATGGCCTCCCTGTTGCCTCGTGCTATCACCAAAGAACACCTTACTTCATTTCCAGCTGCACGTTCACAGCAGTACTTCATTCTAAAGTGCAATGGGAACTGAGCTGATGTGGATAAGCATGACACATCAGGTTTCAGTCTGAATATGCATTACACGGTTTAGAAGACCCATTCAATACCATGAATTTTTCTTCCATCAATGTGTGAAAAGAGTGATGTAGATTACGTCTTAATCTAAATAATGCAAAGTAAAAATTAGTATGCAATTATGTCATTAGTTTAAAAGAGTGCCCGCTTTTATTCAATTGATATTATTTTTTAAAAAAGATTAAACATATTAAGAGTTGCTGAGGAATTTACCAACTAATCCAGTTTGGTTTTCATGTACACAGCAGACACAAGACTCGCTATGGACCAGCATTTGAATTAGATGATATTCCTTTTCTACCAATTAGGAAGACAAAACACCCACAAATGTAAAAATAACTTGCAAAAGAAGCAGATTCATCTTTTATCATCTTACAGAAATAACACATCTCAGTTATGCCTCAATCATTGCAAAAAAAAAAATTATAAGTAGCTAGTTACAATTTGTTTACATGTAGTTTGTTTACATCTGAGCTGTGCATAAAGTGAGCAGGTACTTGGAAATATTTTGATGTATTATGCAACAACACTGAAATTTTAGTAAAGAAATTACTATAATCATTGTGGAGTACATGCTCAGGAAAAAAAACTTTATCATCTTGGAAGAAAAATACATGTTAGCCAACAGGTCCCTGTGTATTATTTAACAGTGAAATAATCTAAGTATTATCCAATATTTTTTAGGGGCCTCCAGGTCCTCAGGGTCCAATTGGCTATCCTGGCCCTCGTGGTGTAAAGGTATGGGTAATACTTTTTTTTCAATTTTATTTTAATGTTTTCTCTTGCTTTCTTTGTGCCAATTGTCATTGTTGTTTCTGTTTCCTAATAGGGTGCTGATGGTGTTCGGGGTCTAAAAGGTGGAAAGGGTGAAAAGGTAATTCTTTTATTGAGTTTGAAAAATCATTTTGCAGTTTTGCAAAAAAAAAAAAAAAGGACATACGTGAATTCAAAATCAGTAACCAGGTATAAAACAGCAGTGTTATATAAATAAATATGATAATGGTCAGAGTCAGCAAAGTAAATTTGTACATGTCTGCGTTAGTTTAGGATACAATTATTAGAATTCAGAACAGAACTTGCTATCATATCAGAATTGTTTGGAATCACTAGTGATGAATAAACTATCTACTTATAGTCATATATTTATTAGTGGCATTTATATATTGCACAAAGTGGTAGGTCAACATAGTTAACAATTTGTCAGAACTCATGGGAATTGGAGTACATCAGTCCTATATAGACATAGGTTATTTGTATTCGTATCCCATCCATTGCTGCATAGCACTGGGGTAGTTTGTTGGTGTACTTGCATCAATCGTGGAAGGAGCCTATCTGGCTCTTCTCTCTTCGTCAGCTGAGTGGGGAGACTCCCCATCCCACCTCCTTGCTGGAGTGGCAAGCTGCACGGGTCTCTCTTCGTCAGCTGAGTGGGGAGACTCTTTGCTAGAGTGGTAAGCTGCACGGAGAGGTGGGGAAGATCCATATGGGCTACCTCCACAATTGGCACAAGGATGATGATGAAAGACTCCAGACTGGTAAGTGGACCGTTCAATTCTGGAGCAGAAGGGAATGGACCTCCATGGCACCTACTACCTCCACAATTGGCACAAGGATGATGAAGAACTCCAGCACTGCACAGTGACTGGTAAGTGGACTGTCCAATTCTGGAGCGGAAGGAAATGGACCTCCATGGCACCTATAGTGCTGCTATTCATATTCGTATCCTTGGGGATACAAATAAGAATAGCCATGTCTAGTCCTGTATTTTAAAATGGAATTTCAGACTGCAGATAAAACAGGAGCCCAAACAGTTCTGTATACAGTGGTGCCTCGACTTATGGACTTAATCCATTCCAGAAGATGGTCGTAACTCAAAATGGTCATAAGTCGAAGTACCATTTCCTATAGGAATGCACTGAAATGCAATTAATCCATTCCAGCTGAAGAAAAAAAATCACCAAAACAAAACAAAACTGCAAGACCCATCAGAAACACGATTAATCCATTCTGCCAAATGGCCGAAGCGAGGGGGAAAAAATGGTCATAAGTCGAAGTACCATTTCCTATAGGAATGCATTGAAATGCAATTAATCCATTCCAGCTGAAGAAAAAAAAATCACCAAAACAAAACAAAACTGCAAGACCCATCAGAAACACGATTAATCTGTTCTGGCCGAAGCGAGGGGGAAAAAAAGAAAAGCAAACAAACTTTGCAAGACCCTTCAGAAAAAAAAGGAAAGCAAAACGCAAGCAAAATGTGCAAGTCCCATCAGAAATGCAAAAAAAGCAAAGCAAAAAGCAAACAACCCCCCCAAGACTCATCGGAAATGGGGGAACCCAAAAAGCAAACAAACCTCCCAAGATCCATCAGAAATGGGGGGAACACCAGAAAACAAACAAACCCTGCAAGACCCATTACAGCATAGAAACATAAACCCACCTCCTAGCTCAAAACCACACTGCAAAAATCCACCCAGAACAGTTTTTAAAAAGCAGAAAGCAGCACCTTACCTTACCAGGCAGTCCAAAGCCTCCTCCGATCACATTCACTCTAACCGTTGGGTGAAAGAGCTACAAAGAAGCAGCCTCTTCACCTACCAAGTTAGCAATTTGAATTCCCCACCTTTTTTCCCTGCCTTTTTTTGGTTGTAACTCGAAGCTCCGGCCACAAGTCGAAGCAAAATTTTGCGGCCAGAGCTCATCGTAATGGTCATAAGTTGGGACATTTTTAAGTTGAGGCACCACTGTATTGGGGGTGGGGCATACTCTTTCCAGATGTTGGAGGGTTGTTGTTCCTAACATAGTGCCAGCAGAAAAAAAGAGAAGAGGTAATGATATCTCGATAGCGCTAGTGCAACCATTAGTAAAACCAACACCACATGTCACGCAAGAACTATATCTGTATTAATCTATCCTTAATCACAGTCTACTGCCTTTTTAATACCCTAATCAGCCTTTGGCCATCTGAGGCATATGAAGGGGAATAGAGCCCCAAATTTTAAAGTGGGAAAGTATGAAGAAATATACTAGAGAAGAGTAGTATCACGGGGAACCTCTCCTTGATGAATTAAGAAGTGAATTTTCCTGTTCCTTTCTCATTATCTGTTCCTCTTTTTGAGAGTGAAAAGTAATTCAAATCATTGATCACAATATGCATTTTTCTAATAGAGGAGTTGTACTAAAATTATTACATTAGCTTTAGAAGTGCAAATTATTGTGACTTACAGCAGAACAGCTATGGTTGCTACATACACGCCTTATTCTCGCACAAGTATTCAGTTTCTTTAAGAATTTAAATTGTCTCTACACCAAGAACGTGAACACATTTCCACCTTTCCCACAGGGTGAAGATGGCTTCCCTGGGTTTAAAGGTGATATGGGCCTTAAAGGTGACAGGGTAAGTGTTTCTTTCTCTCTCTCTTTGTCTTTCATGCACATGAGTTCTATCCTCAGCATCCCAGCATAGCCTAATGAGAGCATGTGACACAATGGAAGCAGAGTTTTGAAGACAAAAAGAAATATATGTGCACAAGCAAGGAAGCTTAGTCAGTAGCTGGAATCATCACACTCTTGGAGCAGCCTTACACCCTACCCCTTGATGCAGTCCTTTCTCTGAAATGACTGAATGTTTTTCCTTCATTGTCATGTGTTAGGGAAATATAAAGTGTTGACATGATATGCCATTCAAGTGAGCATAAACATGACTCTAAACTAGTGGTTCTCAACCTTTGAGAAACCCATTAGACTTCAATTCCCAGAAGCCTTCACCACCAGCTGTGCTGGCTGGGCGTTTCTGGGGGTTGCAGTTCAAGAACACCTGGATTACACAAGGTTGGGAATCACTGCTCTAGGTGATTAACCTAGCTCATTTTCACAGCGGTTCCATGCAAACATATGACACTCTTGCAATATAAAACCGATTTTTGCAGTAGGTGTTCTGTTCCTAAGCAGGCTAATCCTAAGGAAAAGGTTTTGGCAGTCCAGGGCCAATATAGATCAGAGTATGTGTAGCAAATAGACAGACCAAGCAAGGCGAATTCAGATGTACAGTAAAAAAAAAATCAAAGCAGAAGTAAAACAAACAGAGACCTGTTAGTAAGTCAGAAAAACCAGATGAGGGATATCCAAAGTTAAAATCTAGTAACAACCTAGACATGTTGCTAGCTTTTAATAACAACAAACAAGGAGGGACTTTCCAAGAGGTGCAGGTAAGCCATTCCAAAGCCACACATAGCAGCAGAATCACACCAAAGTTCAGTACTGTATTCAGGATCACAACAAGTGAAATCAGGGATTCCAAAGAGTTGTTGCATTCAGTGAACACACAGTTCCAAAGCTGTTTATATTACAAAGCTGTTCCTGAAGCCTCACCCAGAGTTTAGCTGCAGACGTATTCGCGAAGGCTTTCACGGCCATGATCCAATGGTTGTTGTGGGTTTTTCAGGCTCTTTAGCCATGTTCATGGCCAAAGAGCCTGAAAAACCCACAACAACCATTAGCTGCAGATATTTGGGTACCTCATTTCCTTGGGAAGAGGAGCTTAGCTGCAGGATTTATGCTGCTAATCCCTTTGCAAAGAAGGAGACCCCCTACTTTTGCAGAAACCTCTTTTCACAAGGTGTTGTCCTCTCCTGCAGCTGAACACCTCTTAAGTCATACTCCTAACTTCAGTGCATTCTTGGAAGCTGCAAGAGTCTCCAGATTTCTCTTCCAATTTTAGAGGGTTCCAACCCATTCTTGCTGGAGGACTGGGACATTAGGGAGGGAAAAGTCAAAAGCTGTTGGATTTGAGAGTCTCAGAGAAAACAACATTTGTTGTGCCTCCTGTGATTTGTTGTAAGAACCTGCTTTATACACACATACACATACCATCTGTTATAATAGTGAATATTTTACTGTTGGGAAAAAAATAGAAAGAACATAAGCAATTATGTATTGTCTGAACTCTTTGTATAAATACTATCAATAAACGTGCACCACGTGCATGGAGCTCTAGTGCAGGGGTCCCCATGGACCGGCTGGGGAAGGCGGAGCACCCCCTTGCACTTGTGCGCATGTTTTTAACCCCATGGACCGGCTGGGGAAGGCGGAGAACCCCCTTGCACTCGTGCGCATGCGCAAAGGAGCGGGAGGGTGCCCGTGCGGTCGCGCGCATGCTCATGCACAAACAGTGGTGCAGCACTCATGCAGGCATGTGGGCGCTTGTGCACATGCGCAAAAGGGTGGGGGATGTGCATGCATGCACAAAGGGCTGTGCAGGGGAGAATGTGTGCAGGGGTGGGTGGGAAGTCTGTCTCCGTGGCCCGGTCCATCTCAGGCCATGGACCAGCACTGGGCCGTGGACCAGGGGTTGGGGACCTCTGCTCTAATGAATTCTGTGTATAGCTACCATTTTAAATAAAAGTTGTTGGATCTCATTGTGAACCACTGAATTTGGTTTGGTTTAAAATAAAAGGAATGAGTTTGTGTGAAATGCCACTTTGTCATTTTAGGTTCAGGGACTTAAACTCACTGAAAAACCCTTAGCCTTGATCTTCTGGTGGTTGACCTCTACCTTTCCATTCATATTCTGAGGGGTTTCATCCAGAATTTTGCATTTGTGGGGGCTATTCCTCTTTGAGATCATTTCTTAATTATGCTGTGCAGAAGGTTACAGGAATTATTAGAATAAAATGTCAGGATTTTAGGACAGGTCTTTTATCTCCCTAGCCTATATAACTAAAATGCTTATAAAAACAGCATGTTATAAACAGATGTTGCTGGTGTTTATATCCTATGCTTACATAGTCATATTTTAAAAGGGTGAAGTTGGTCCAGTTGGTCCTCGAGGAGAAGATGGCCCTGAAGGTCCAAAAGGTCGTTCTGGCCCCACAGGAGATTCAGGTGGGCCCGGTCAAGCTGGAGAGAAGGTCAGTAAAACAATAACTAGGCGTATTTAGGGAATCATGGCAATTTCCTCATGCAACACTTCACAGTGTGCTTCAGATTAGTATTAAGCAGAAAAATTGAGTGTAAAATATATGAGTTAGAATCTTAGAACTGCAAACCTTGAAGGGACCCAGTGGATCATTGAGTTCAGCCCTTGTCAAGGAGACACAGTGGGGAATTTAACTTCCAACCTCTGGCTCCGTAGCCAGATACCTAAACTACTGAGCTATCAAGCATGCAGGACTCCATTGTTTAATGCCATATTGCCTTGTCTGTGAACTATATGTAGATACTAAATGTATGTTCATGTCAAGATTTAAATCAGAATTAATATCTTCATGAGACGATGTATAAGCCTCTAGTTTCAAATCTTACTTCCTCCATAAAACAAAGTAGGTATTAAAGTACATGCATAGTAAGTACTGACCTTCAGCCATTTTCTTTCAATCTTTGTCTCGCATCATATGCAGTATGGGAACAAAAAAATAGAGTTACATTGAAGACCTACAGTCAAGATTATTGCAAAATTAATGTGAAAGGCTGGAGGCATTTGAAAGATGATAATAATGTAGTAGCTGCCACCATTATTTTACTGAAGAGAGTTTCAGTAAATGGAGGGGGGATGTAAAGAGGCACACTTAGCATAGAGTACTGCAGATTGTATTGTATATTGAGTGTATTTGTGGGTGGGTGTATTTTAAAGGGGCAAATGATGCACTACTTTAAAGAATTTGATAGGCTTTTATTTTAGTCAAAGATAAGTGTGGTGGACTCAGTCTGGATCAGAAAACTAGTATGGGTGTAGGGGTAGTTTGTTGTTGCTTCTAAGCTTTGTCCCTTGTTGTGATCCTGGTCTGGATTAGGCTTCTCCTCTGTTATTTTTGTTGTTGTCAAAAAAGTGACATATTTAGTTTCTTCACTCCACATTTAAAGTTGCTTGTAGCTTGACTCTCAGATTTTAAAATAGTATGAAGGATACCTAGAGCCAATACTGAGTACTTCATTTATACCCCATCCTGAATGGAAAGCATTTTCATCCTTGAAAATCTTAATGGAGTGAGGTGACCTTTAGCCTTCAGACCTTAACTGTTTGGTCTTGGCTTGAATTATCTTTATTTGAAAGTATGGGAGCTAGTTAAGTATATCCACCCTCACATATTGGCTGAAATCCAGTAATAAATTGCACTAAAGTAGGCCCATTGAATCACCAGGGATTTGGTGAGTCAACTCCTTTATAAGTTTCATTTAATAAAATGGGCCTACTCTAAATGTAACTTACTGCGCTAAAATAACCCACAAATAGAATAGGCCCATTTGAATCAATGGAACTTGAATTGACTTATCAAATCCCTATTGATTCGATGAACCTACTCTAGTATGATTTACTCTACCAAGCAACAGGATCTTGGCCATTACTTTCCAGTGTGTCCCCCATCCCTTAATGATACAAACTAGTTTTGGAAATAGGTCTTTGTTCAAACACGTTCCTGCTTGACTGCTTTGTATTTGTTATGAAGGATTTTTTTAAAAACAGGTTTTCCCCTACTTGATTCCCCTTCTGTGTTTTACTCACCTGCCCCTCTGTGGAAGAGCAATTTATGGAACAGAATGAAGAAAGGAAACTACTGTGTTTATGATGCTAGTGACCTTTATAAAGCTATCATAAAAAATACTTACCAAGTGAGATCATTCATTCCAGAAAGTGTTCCTTTCAAATTCATTTAACTGTTGGGAGCTATTTTGGAATTAATGACCCTACGATGTTGCAAGACATCTTGCCAGCTGTTAACAAGGTCATGAATCAAGGAAGGCAATGTTATAATTATGGATGAATGGAAGCATAATTGGAGTGTCATCACTGAATTCGGTTTAAATTCTAGTTCCATTTAAGTAAGACCATACAAGCATTATCTTTCACCCACCCCAAACACAGACTGAACATCTTAGTCTGGCCTATCAGTATAATATTACGATTGGTACAAGATGGGTCCAAAGAAGTGTGAGAGAAAGAAAAAAAAATATTTCTAGCATTATTCTTTAATTTGTTGTATGGATTTTCTTTTCAGCTAAAATATAAACAGAGCAAAAGAAATAAGCATTATTATCCAGAGAAGATCCACATGCCCAAATGTTCTCATTCAAGTAAACAAAAGTGGGGATGTGAAGAATTCTCACAAAATTGCCTTTTTTTTAATGAGACAGACTGTCTGTGTCAATTAAGACGGTCTGTTGAGGAATTACAGACCTGTAAGAGATTCTTAATCTCCAGGAGTGAGAACAATATAAAGGACAGGAGGTGTTTAAGTTTTTGTTTTCTTTCTCTAATGAAGCTTTTGCAATTTGTGCATTATATCTGCTAAAGACTAGTATGTAAAGCATAACACACATACATCAAGTACAGAATCTGGTTGATTGATTGAAATTATGCAAGCAAATTACCTCATGCTTCTAATTTTTAAAAACTCTGTGCAAAGGCAGCATCTCTTGCAATTTTCTTTAATTACAACTGTTGTTGTTTGGACATATATACAACCTCATAGTGCCAAAGTGGTCTCTGGGTGGCTTACAATGTTCCTGTGTACAGTATGCAAGATTTCTCATTGATATGGACAGATATTATATTACTGTCTTGCAAAATAGGGGGAAATGTACTTTCTCATTGTTGTGCATTAGAATTAGATGAGCATCTTGCAAAGAAAGTCTTCAGTTGTTCTTAACTCTTCTGGAAGAATAGCTTTAGAGTGGGGTAAAAAAAAACCCACCTGTGATCACAAAACTAGAAGTGTGCTTTGCCTCCAACCTGTAATTATTTGAATTGATTCACCATGTCAATAGATGAGAAAAAATATTGCAGACAAATGAGAAATAATACTAGAAAGGTGTTTTGTTTTCAGAATATAATGAAATGAGAAATCATCATGTAGTAAAGGCCACTGGGTATGCAGCAGCATATTCTTTTCAAAAATTATGTTCATATCTGCATCTTTTCATGTTTTATCTTTTGGAGATACACTTCTCCCTTGAATTGCACAGGTTTGAGCAGGACAGTTTTGTTATACACTTTTTTCAATACATACACACACACACACACACACGCACGCACGCACGCACGCACGCACATATACATACATACATACATACATACATAGATACATACATACATACATACATACATAGATACATACATACATACATACATACATAGATACATACATACATACATACATACATAGATACATACATACATACATACATACATAGATACATACATACATACATACATACATACCCTGGCCACCCAGAACACCATGAGTCTACTGCCATCAGGAGATGAGTGATCTTAATCAGACTCCATGGAAGTGGAGGAGATTTTGGCCTTCTCCTTCTCCAGTTACCTTTTATTAGCTATTCAGTTCCCCCTCCCAGCAACCTTGAATAAGATGGCTGGTTGGGATGGTGGCCAAATGGCAGGGATGTTGGCAAGTCTTTGGGTCCAAGTCCCAAGTCCAAGTCTGAGTCTTTGGTACCACATCCCAAGTCCGAAGTCCCAAATCTGAGTCTCTATTAAAAATAAGCTTCCCCCCCCCCAGGAAAGGAGGAGGTGGATGTGGGTTCTGAGTCATGAGTCCACGTCATTGGAAAACAAAAAAACCAAGTCGAGTAGCGGGTGCGACTTAAGTTCAATTTGACAGTGAGTCCTGCAACTTGAGTTCCCATCCCTGCCAAATGGAAGCCTCCCTACACGGCCATGGTCACAATCTTCTCCTAGCTCTTACTCAGTGTGCTTCTGTGTGTGCATCTGTGTTTGTGTTCAACACAAACATGCAAAAACTTCAGACCTAATTAGAAAAAAAATACACAAGTTTCATTTTTCTAGAGGGAATATAGTACGGAATGTATACCAGAACCCTGTAAAACTGTTTATGAATAAAATGCTTTTTTTTTTTTAACTGCAGGGTAAACTTGGTGTTCCCGGATTGCCAGGATATCCCGGAAGACAAGGGCCAAAGGTAAATTAGCTCTCTAAACGTGTATTATTAGAAAGCAAATACACTAAGCAAGATGTTGCCACTTGAGCTGGGGGCTGTTGTCGTTGTTGTTGTCATTGTTATGTGTTTCTAAAAAATGACAGCCCTTCAGATTAGTGATCTTCAAAAGTTCCTATTGTTAACTGCCCCCCCTTAGAACTTAAAAATCAAGGCTGTGGCTTCCTTCATTTAATTAATTAATATATCTTATGTTATGGCGTGTTCTTTTCTTGCTGTCTTGATCAGTTTTTGCAGCAGTATTATCTTTTCCAGTAGATCTTATCTTCTCATGATGTATGATACTGTCACGCATTGTAATCAGTGTGGGAGGTAATTTGCATCAATTGAATGTTATTGTTTACAACTGTAGTTCATAACACTAAAACGTGATACCTAGAGCATCAATGTAATGTAAATGCAGAACAGCCAGACACAGTAATGTAACATTTGTAATGATGTCCAAATGTTACATATATTTACTTCCTCGGGTGACGGATCTAATAATCAAATAGGCGGAAAGGTATTGTGAGATGGGAACATGATTTACTCGTGCGAACCTTTTCTGTGCTAGCTGTGATTATTAAGAAGCCACTTTTACATCTGTTGACAGCACAGTGAAGATTAAGATAGATACTAGCTTTTGCTAAAATTTACACTTAAATCAACTGTCTGGTGTTTTCTGTTCATATACTCGTATGTGCAATGTGTGTCTTAATTTACATTATGTAAGGCTGCTAGTACTTTTAAAAATATCTTGGGACAGATAACAAACTTTTTAGCCCTTTTTAGTATTGCAAACCCATGTTTATTCTGAACTTGCTTCATTTAGCAAGGGTTAAATCTTCATTTTATTTATTTATTTTAGTTAGTAGTCTGTTAATGTGGTTCATGATTACTGCTGAGGAAACTATTCATCATGAATATTACCATCTTCAAAAATAGGGCTTTGATGCACCTGCCTTTTTATCCTAAACGTCTGAGATTTTCATCTTTTTTTCCTCCCTGTCATTGCTTCAAAACTCTGTTTGGCAATTTCTTAAGATCAAAGAGACCTTACATTATTCAGAATATGCATACAAACGATGTACTTCAAAGAAAATCTGTGGCCTTTTCCCCTTGAAACAGAGATGTCAGTGTGAATTTTGCTAAGCTAAATCTTCATTATGTTAAAATTGAAATTAGTTTGCAAGTTCATGTTTAATATTTTCAAGAGCTTTCACTCTTCAAAAGTATACGGGCACTAAAGCATCCTGAAAGCTGAGCTATTACTTGAGATATAGGCCTGCCTGTCTTACAACTCTTCTGTATTGAGTAGCGACAATGCCAGAGTTGTGTGAGTGTAAACTCATTTGAGGTTCTTAGCTCCACCAGCAACAATTAGAAGTATGAGATGAATTCCTGAAGTGGCCATAATCTTGCCCCCCTCCATTAAATATAAAAATGCTTTCAGAACTGGCAAAGGAGTGGCCTCAGGCTACAGACTTTGTGTGTCATTTAAGGCAACAAATTGTTAGCTATTAATTTATGGAATTTTCTAACAAACGAACTTGGTTGGCTTTGAATACAATGCCCTTGCCTTACTGCCTCAGGCAGCAAATTCTCTTAGCCCATCTCTTCTTGATTTTCTGCTAGCATCCATCCACCTCTGTGTCATACATAACACAAGCTCTTTTTTTGTACCTTATTCCTCTGGGCCACTTTGTGCTTGCCACAAGTTCCTTGTCCTGCACACCTTTCCTTGAATCAGAGATGGGCACTACATAGGCTGTGGACTTTATGTTGCCTCTGCTCTTTTTTGGAGTGTCCCCATCAACCCCAAAAATGTCCACATCGTCAGCTTTCCCACCAACATCTGGCACTTTTGTGGAAAAAATTTCCCTTAAGAATTTGTAATGTGCATTGAAGGTTTAGGAGAGTGTTTATTCAGTCTTGGCCAGTATTGAGAGCTAACGGGGAATGTGTGTAAAGACAGTCTACAGAACATAGCTATATAGGAAACACACAAAGGGCTGTAAAATGAGCCATTTAAATTGTTATTCCTTTGAACTTCCTTTTGAAATTCCTTTCTCAGGATTTCTCTTTGGTATTCCTTTAGGATGAAGCCTCAGTATTTTATTGTTTTAGCATACCTTTGCTAATGGTAGGGAAGATAGTGTCTCTGTGCTTCTCAGACAATGGCTGTCTTTCCATGGTTCATTGAGGGACACTATATACGGGACTTTGCTATACATATGGAATTCATTGGCTATCTTTATATAATTGCCAAATCCATATATAAATGGTTATATTTCAGATTTGCAATGAGGGAGATCTCCACACTTTTCCATAGAAACAGCCATTTTGTCTCCTCATCTGGCTGCTTTCTGAGTAGTTACATGCTTACCCAGCCAGTGGATATTCTGGGAACTATAGTTCAAAAGCACAGTGCTTGTTTTTATTATTAATTTATTTATTTAAAACATTAAGGAGAAAGGTAGGGTAAAAAACGTTTTAAGGACCCAAAGTGGCTTGCCTCATTAAAAGACATTTAAAGCTAAAAAATACCCTACCTTTCTCCTTTAAAAGGACCCTAAGTGGCTTGCCTCATTAAAAGACAACATTTAAAGCTAAAAACAGTAAGTATACAAATACTAAAAGGATCAAATGAATAGCACACATTCAAAACAGTAAGGTACAACAATCCATTTAAGCCAGGCATTAAGGAAATGCTTATTTCTGGAACAACCCCAGAAAAAGCAGAAAACTGTCCACAAGCAAGATGAACTGAGAGTGTGCCCCTTTAAACAGCAAAACAGTGCTTTTAAAGGGAAGGTACCACCCAATTTTCTACAGCTCCCCCACCTGCCAACCTACCTACTCTTCATTTTGTGCAGGACAGAGAAAGAAGATTAGAAATCTTCATGCGGAGAGTCTCAGCCAGTGGCACCCAGAGATCTGGTCTTCTATGCCATATGGGTGGTTCAGTCAGTCGATCTCAGTTTATTAGGGGGGAATTAAATTAGTCCCTGGAATTTCATTGTGGGGGGTTATTTCTTTTGGAGGAGCAGCAAAGCTTAGCAGTAGTGGCTGTAACTTCTTTCATGAAAAACTAAAACAAAAACCCCACATTATTTGCGACCCACTACTCTTCCTACAGTTATATCTGTTATACAAGTTGTAGGGCTTTCATTCTCTCTCTCTCTCTTTTTTTTTTTCTTCCTGAGTGTGTGCAATACATGCATCCAGAAATGAGTAATCACAATAGCCTCCCGTAGAGGGCCTTTGGAAGATATCTACAAAACATGCTCACAGTGTAAGCAAATACATCCTTTGATTTTAATCTCCAGGGTCTGGAAGGTAAACTGCATCTAGCCTGTGGCCCTTTGTGTTCTCTAGTCCTCTCTATATCAAACATACACAATGACAAATACTTCTGGTCTGTATTCCAGAAATTCATGATAACGAATCAGAGGGAAAGGGAACAGAGTGGGAGAGAAATGAGAAGTTGCATGAAGTTCATACCCAGAAGATGCAGTAGGCAATAAAAAAGCATACTAAGTGATCTTTCACAGTGTCATCTGTAACCCTTTGAGGAGGAGGAGAGCCAACCCTGTTGTTAGAGTTGGCCCTGCCAGCCCTGGCAGCTTCAGCAAGATTCCTGCTTTCCACCCTTTTCTCCACACAGTGAGTAGGCAAGGGATCAAACTCCACAAGATTTATTGAAACTTAGACAGGGAGAAAGGATAACAACTGCTTGCAAACAGTCAGAGGTTTCTGTTCCAAACACCAGTCCCACATCCTTTCTATTGCACGGTCGTTCTCTGGTTCTGTTCACTAAAGGGGTAAAAGTATCTCGAGGTGCTTCAGTTCTCTTCACTAGTCTCTGGTCCATTCAACTAGTCCAGTCCAACACTCAAGTTTTCTCTCTCTAGGATGTATCCCTCAGATCATTGGGTGGTATGCCCACAGGAAGGGCAGGTATGTTGGGGCTCCTTGCCCAGGATCACTTGTTCCTTTACCTCAGTGCATTAGTACTTGCAACATCCCCTTCTTTCCCAGTGTTTATGTGTGGAGGAGATCAAGGCACCCTCCTTTTTCCATTCCTTCTTTTCCTTTCTCTCTCTTACTCCCAATAATAAGATCAGGGGGTGGTTTATATTCATATCTACAGACCTCCCCTTTGGGCACCCAGAATTGGACCAAGACCTCTCACCATGGATCTTCTTTATATATGTAGTGTCATTCACCGTGATCTTCCTCCCAAGGAGGTTCCTCAGCCCAGTAATTCCCTGGCCATGCTTCCCAGGCATTTTGCCAGATTTTATCCCCAGAATGTCTCACTTCTCCCCTTCATCCTTCTGTTCCCCTAGCTTCCTGGTGTTGGGTTTCCCCTCTTGGACAGGATTCCCTTCTACTCCGGTATAAGGCAACTTCTTTCCCCCTCTGCCACAGAAGCATCTATCTCCCTTTCCATCACTGGGGCACTCACCCCCTCCTTTGGCATAGGGGTACTTATTGTCCCTGGAGCGACTGGTTCTCTCTTCTTGGGCACCTGCACTTTCTCCAATTGGCAACTATCCTCCTCTCTTAGTCTTCTGTTGAGCTTCTGTCTTCTCTGGCAGCATAGTTGCTTTTATACCCTTCATCTGCCTGGGGTAGACTAGTTCCTGCCATTCTCCCAGGGATCGTCCCCAACTCCAAGGGTTGACATCATCATTGTGGTTTCTGTATACATTCTGGTATCTTGGGAAGGGCTAGGCACTAAGGCCACAGCGCCCTGTAAACATTCTGCAACCAATCAGGGTAGCAATCTGGTTGGAGCTATTGAGTCCCTGGCTGGAGTGTGATAACATGCCAACAGAGATAGGCAGAGTGACACAGTCACCTCAGGTGATAGACACTACTCACAGCAAGGCATTGGAAGAAATATTGTAGTTGTGTAACACACTTCTTCAATCACACATTATGTTTGTGACACGGAAACTGGTCTTGCACTGTAGAAGTAATGTGAAAAGGTTTGTGCAACACCCAAGTAACTTGTGTTGTGCCTCCCCAACCCACCCCCACCCCAGGCTGGTAACACCCCTCTTGGAATCAGAGCAACACTGCTGTGGGAAGATCAGCCTGGATGATTTAACATTGCAGCAAGATCAATGTATGTAGTCACTCCCATCTCCTAAAGCAGGTGGGGGCAAGCTCTGAGGGTCCAGGGACCCCCTTCCCCCCACAAAAAACACACACTGTGATATAAATTCCTTCCCCAAAGCTCAAGTATAAGGTGAGCAAAGCAGGTTCTTTGTATTGGGTGGACAGGAGATAATCTCTTCTCTTGGCATACTCACACTTTTGACATCAGAGCACATCACTCATTTACTTGATCTTTAATTTGAAGCATCTCAAGTGAAAAGGATCTCAGATGAAAGGGCAAGGAGAACCTTGGAAGCTGTCGTTTGGAGTAGATTAGAAGTGGGGAACATTAAACTCTCCAGAGGTACCTGGGCTACAGATCCCATCAGAATTTAGCAGACCTTAGCTGTGCTGGCTAGATCTTATAGAAATTGGAGTCTGTTCACCAACATCTGGACAGTCACACTTTCCTCACCTCTGGATTCGATAGTACTGAGCTCAGTAACCAATTTGCTACAAGGTGACTTCATATATTCAGAAATTTTATGAAAGGCTTTCTGCCTTCTACTTTGGGTTTGGTCTGTTTACTTCCTAAAAACACTTTTATGTTAAGTTCCTACTGCTCTTTGTTGTCCAGATGGTACAGATTGATGATGACAGATGTCTACATTTGCTTTTTTTTTATCCATGGCTGTTCTGTGATTCCATACCTTGTTACTATTGATGATAATGTATTTGTCATGAAATGATACCTCTATTAATGTTTTTAATGCATTCTGGACTTGAAGTATAATGGTAAGCTATCAAGAAGTCAACTGTCAGTAACCATATTTGCAACAATGTTTATATTGTCTCATATATTACAGTGTACTGTACTTAATATGATTTATCTGCACCCCAATAGAAGGGCATGTGCTTTGCTTGCACAAAGTCCCAGGTTTGCTCCTTGCCATCTCCAGACAGAACTGGGAAACACCCCATCAAAAAACCTGGGGAGCTGTGTTGTCACTCGGAGTAGATAATTCTGTGCTAAACAGCCCAATTGCCTGACTTGGTATAAGGCACCTTCCCATGTTTGTGTGCTGAAAGCTTCATACGTGGCTTCCTATGCAAACACTGAACCATGATATTAAAGTTAAGGTGTAATCACTTATTTACTAGTATTACTATTGGGCTTGGCCGACCAGCTTACCTTGTACTTAAAAGGGGGTGGTATGTAGTCCACTGAAATGATGAGCATCCTCATTATAATCTACATGGTATGTATAGACTATAAGGTATCTGTTGCTCTCCAATCATGGCATTTTTAGTAAAACTCTACATCTTTGTTCTTGTTATTATTGTTCCTTTTCAGGGCTCTACTGGGTTCCCAGGATTCCCAGGTGCAAACGGAGAGAAAGGTGCAAGGGTATGATACAGTACTTTTCCTTATGTATTCTCTATTACAGTATTACGTAAATTCATTGCTAGGGTGATTTAAAGGGCAAGAATGGGAATGTATCAGCTACAGAATGGTTCCAATCCAACATGGTGCTAGAATTGCGGTGGGAGAACCTTCTTCCCTTCCCCTTGCTTTTCTAGCTATTGAAGCCACCTGAAAGTCCAGCTGCAAGGTGTTTCCCAGACCATCAGACCAGTCTTTGGGGGGTATAAAGGGAACTATTGTAGGAAAGGAAAACCATGTAACTTGCACTAATTTCTGCAATGGAAGTTCAAAAGTGGACTTCCAGCATTGGTTCCTGCCGGCTCTAAAAATATTGTGCGTATCTGAGTCCGAAAACACTCAAATAATGGAAAGATAGTAGCTCGAAAGGATTATGCAGTATTTTCCCCACACTGAAAAACGCATAACTTAGTTGTCTGAGATGTACATGCCAAAAGAAAGTTTCAAAATGGGGCCTGCAGATTCAAGTCAGAAATGTAGGTTTCCATTCCATCTCTGGTAGTATTGCCCAAATTGTTCCTCTTGAAACATGTCTCCCATTAGTTTTTGCTTAATGCTCTTTCCAATGAATTGAGGGAAGGGAAGGTGGCATTTTGCACAAGAATTATAACAATCCAGTGCAACTTGGCATTTCCTCCATAAGAAATTACCATGAAACTTTCAAGGAATCCCACAAGATTTCTCAGAGTTTGGGGAAGGAGCTAGTCCACAGAAAACTCTTTATGACAGGAAAGAATAACTGGTTTCTTGTCAAGAGCAACAGGCTGTGAGAATCTCACCCCTTATTCTCACATTCATAATTTGATTTTGTTTGTGTGAGAGAGACTAATACTCAGCAGGAGGGCTAATCTAGGGACCAAGGACATATGTTGAATGCATCTGAACATTTAAAATGCAGGTTTTAAAAGTGAAAATAGTGACATTGGGAGAGGGCCTAATAAATAATGGCAATAGTATTAGGTGTGGTGTGAATTTCTCCCTGAAGCAAATACCAGCTTTAGAGAGGAGGCTGCAACAGGGGAGGGAAGGAGCAGCATTTCCCCTTAGCGTTTGCTGTGGTTCTGATGATGATTAGCCACAGGTAATGCTGTGTACATTTTTGAAAGCCCGTATGTTCGATGTAGACATTTTAATAGTTTATGTAGCATGGCCCTGACTTCATTCAAAAGTGTTTGTTTTTAATGTGAAGAGCAGTAAAATGAAGGTGGCAATAATAATTGAAGATCCCTTCAAAAATGTAATTCATTCCTACACACTGCAGTGATCAAAGGATGATCTATAAACCTGCCCATTGCCTGAGAGAAAGAACAATGGAGGAGACCCACCTATCCAGTCTCTTCATAATTTTGCATTGTAAATCAATGTCAAAAATCAGGACGTAAATAAGTCCAGTATATGGAAAAGTAAATAAGGGCTGCTTGGAACCATCAGTACAGGGCAGGCTGATAGCCCCCTTTCCCTCAGTTCTCTCAGATGCAGCATTTGGTAAGAAAACAGACAGGCAAAAAAACCCTAAACTACTGACAGTTCTTTCTCTTGCCTATGAATTATCAACCAAGATTGCAGTTTATTCTCAAGGGATTTTTTTTCTTCAATCTATTATACATTTTAATTCAGTATTTTTATTTACCAAAGACACACACAGACACACAGACACACAGACACACAGACACAGACACAGACACAAACACACAGACACAGACACACACACACACCAGTCTCCAATTGAACAAGCAAGACTATAAAAAGGATGCAAAAGAATACATATTTAAATGAACATAAAAAGTCAAGATGTAGCATCTTTGTTTAGTTGAAGATGGGGGGGGGCGAATCTGTAATGCGGAGGCTCTTAGAAGGTCACTGCATCACTATCCATAAAGCTCAACTGGATGTGGCTGATTACTTGTGGTAGAAATGGGATGAAGTTATCAAAGGGGAAAAGAGATGGCTTGAAAATTGTGTTTGATGGCAGCTTAGTGTGTCATTAAGTAAAATTCAAGTAATGTATTTTATGGCTCTGCCCACCACTCTGTTTTATTTAATTCAAAAACCGGCCAGCAAATTCCCCACTTCAAATATGAAATTAACATTAGGCAATTGTAGTTCCAGCATCCTTGCAAGTTTCTTTACTTCGTTCTTTTTCTCCAAGAATTGTTTTAGCTGGCCTGCAGACATGTTATAATAATCTTAGAACTGCATTACTAGAAGGGACCCTACGGATCATCTCTTAGAACTGCATTACTAGAAGGGACCCTGCGGATGATCGAGTCCTCCCCCTGTCAAGGAGGCACAGTGGCAAATCAAACTTCCAACCTCTGGCCCCACAGCAAGAGACCTAAACCACTGAGCAATCCAGCAGTTATTTCTTGCTTAGAATTTTGAATGTGAAGTGATGTTCAGATCATCCATTTGTTTATTAAAAGAATTTTTATCTTGCTCCTCAACCAGACTCCCAGAGCAGCTTACATACAATTGATACAAACAGGATAGTCCCTGACCCAAGGCTTATGATCAGTAAAATGTGTCACAAAATTTTAAAATGCTAAGATGCCAAGGGGGGAATGAAACAGGTATTGCTTCCCTTGCCCCTCAGCTGCTTAAGCAGTGAGAGGCATAAAACTGGAACCATGTAGGCTACGCTCCTGCCCATAATAAGATGTATTTTGGCCCCATTGAAACATATGTTAGTCACATTGTGCATACAGATAAGAGTTTAAGGAAGGAAGAATGAATGAATGAATGAATTTATTACGGTCAGGTGACCAGCTCATAAAACATAATTATGATTAAAATATACAAAATGCAGTTTAAAAATATAAAATCAGTTCGTAAAACATGTTATGTGGTTAAAGTACACAAAATGCAATTTTAAAAGGTGTACAGCCAGTTCATAAAACATATTATATGGTTAAAATATAAATATGTCCTCCCTTTGGTTGGGGCCACAACATTTCTCTACGCTTGACAGTAAACCACCCCCATGTTAAAACCAGTTGACCTGTGAACTCAGGAGACTATAAGGGAGCGCTGTGCCATTGCTGCTGCACAAAATTTTGCTGCAGAGCATGTAATAAGGGAGTCTTGATCAGAAGGAAGTAGCCTGATGTAAAATTCATCAGATCTCCCTGGATATCTGAGAATGATTGGGCTCAAGAGGTTAGTGTGTAGATCTCTATAAAAAGACAGTACAGTAAGACATGACCTATAGTTTCCACTTGGCCATCATTACATGGACACAGGCAATTAGAAATAGGTATATGTTGAAATGTTCCTTCCATGAGTTTGGAGGGTAAAACATTAAGTCTCGCTAATGTAAAGGCTCTTCTTGTCTTTGTTGACATTGTGCTCTTCAGATATGAAGATATTAAGGAAGGAAGGAATAGGCTCAAATTTTCTCATCCTGATCAAAAAAGAGTGTCTTGACACATTGAGACACCCTACTGGAAAAAAATGATCAACTGCTAAAAGACTACCCCCTACATGAAAGCAAAACCACAAGCACATTTTTATCAGTATTACTCCCCCCTCACACACAGAGGTTTCTATATTTCACATTTTATAAAACCTTATTTTGTCTTTAAAAGAAACTTACACAGTTTATTCAATGAAAAGTACAAAAGTTTTTGAGCAAAAGGAATTTTCCTTAATTTTTTGCACACACACAAAAAGAGTGTCGAAAGGTGAAACATGCACAAAAATCTATAATCTAACCTAGCAGGAAGAGGACATTTCAATACAGTATTTGTTTTGTTTTATTTTCACTCATGAGAATAAAAAAAAGTGAAGATTTACATCTTCAGTATAGATATATAGCCAAGTATCACTTATCTGCAGATATGCACTCCATATGAGCATCCTGATCTAGGAATTGCCAAAGCACTACTTATTATTGTAACTTTTCCAAGTGGTGAAATGAAACAATGAATTCTTAATTGCTTAGAAGTGGTTCCAAACCTTGGGTCCCCAAGTGTTCATGGATAACAGCTCCCAGAAATCCTGGCCAACAGAGCTAGCTGTGTAGGCTTCTGGGAGTTTCAGTCCAAGAACATCTGGGGACCCAAGGTTGGGAACCATTGCTCTAGAAACACCTGGTGTTTTCTCTTCCAGGGTCACATGCACATTTGCAGGAGGGTTTGGTGTATGGGGGAAGAATTCTTCCTCCACCATTGCCATTACTCTTTGCTACCACTTCCCTAATCAAGTTTATTTTAGTCTTCTTAGGGAAGATGAGGGATTCACAACCGGATGGAAGGGCAGGGTGTTACCAGCAGGTAGTGGAAATCTTACTCATCCCTCCCATCTACCAGAACCCTTCTGTAAATGCTTCTTGCTTCTGGGTTAATATTATGAGACAAGCACTGATTGAGACTCCTTAGTGCCTTCCATGTGACATGCCATTCTGCCTTTCCCAAACAGTGACAAGTATTTGGAGAAGCTGTTTATTAGAACCTGAATGCAAAGCAGGTAGTGAATACAAAGACATGTTGTATAGCTTTTGATCCTGATAGAGTTCTGCATTCCCCTTTGAAGCAACAAAACCTCCTTCTCAGGGGGCAAACAGCCACTACCACACACACACACATGCCAAAAGCTGTGACTAATTTGTGTGAACTTTTCTTTGGCAGGGCTTGCATGGCAAACCAGGCCCAAGGGGACAAAGAGGACCAACCGTATGTATTACACATTTTTCCCTCCACCCTTCTATTTAATTTTATCCTTGTCCTTTTTTTTTACATTGATTGCAATCTTTAGATAGTTGTCGTTCTGACCTCCAGTACTGTAATACACACCGTATCTTTTGTCACTCCACAGGGGCCACGTGGATCAAGAGGCCCGAGGGGCCCGACTGGAAAACCCGGCCCAAAGGTAAGTTGGAAGAATCGGGGAATCAGTATCACTGCTAGCTTACTTGATGCAAACTTTCCTTTGATCATTGAATACATTTTTGTTTTCCAGGGCACCGCTGGCAACGATGGACCACCTGGCCCACCCGGTGAAAGGGTATGGAAAGAACAATTTATTTTAATTGCTGTGTCCTTAATCAGTATCTTCCTTATATAGATTCCTGTGACTGTGACTGTAACCACAGTGAAGCAGATACTGTACAGAAGGGAAGGGTGTTTTCTGCTTGCTCCAAGTTGCAAATGTCTCTATGTATAAAAGTAAATGCTAAGATACATAAAAGACACACCTGTATTCTCTCTGAGTGGGACAGAAATAGTACATGTTTTTATTTGTTTGAACCCATTTCAACTTTTTAGTGTACTGGACTTCATTTATCTGTTACTTCAGGTTAAATTTAAGGTAACCTGAGGTTACAATTCACAGCACATAAAGTTGGAGATGCTCTAATTCAGTGATCATCAACCTTGGGCCTCCATATGTTCTTGGACTACAATTCCCAGAAGCCTTCACCACCATCTCTGCTGGCCAGGATTTCTGGGAGCTGAAGTCCAAGAACATCTGGAGGCCCAAGGTTGGGGACCACTGCTCTAATTGATTAATGGCAGAAATTTTCAAGGTAGTAGCCATTTCAGTCTGTTGCAATGAAAACAAAAAGCATCTCGTGACGTTTTTATGACTAACAATGTTTTGTTTGGCACAAGCCTTTGTGGAACATAACCCACTACATCAGATGTAGCCTGTAAGAATGCAAGAGGTGAGCCCTGTCAGAAATTGCAGCAACCACTGCAACTGGTAGAACTCTGTCACCCAATCAACTGCTGGGGGGAGGGGGAGCGAGTACCTCGCTCTAGGTGTCTATATTAGCAGGTTGTGTGGATTTTATCTGCCTTTTAAGCCCATTTACTCTAATTCTCCATGTGCTGGTTCCCACAATCCTCTGGCTCAAAAGCACTTCCATTCTCTTCCTGCCCTTGCTTGCCCTACTTCTGTTCCCTCCCACTGATCCATCGATGACATCAGAAGGGCTCATTCCCGGTCTTAAGTTTTGACCCAGAATCTGAAGAAATGTGATGCTCCTGTCCTGTAAACTTTGTTTAGAATGCCATATGTTCCTGAATGAGCTGTGCACACTTGGGAAAATCCAAGGATTTAAAGCCACTTGAAGTTTGCACAGCTCAAATTAGGTAGTTCCCACCATTCATGGTGACTAAGAGGGGAATGTGTTGATAGCCACTAAAATGGTTATATCTAGAATCTGCTAATAATCTTATTTATATGCCAAGGTAATGAGGCTTCCCAGTAGGCCTAAGTGTATAATCTTAAATGGTTGGCAGCTGAAGTTCAGGCCATATGGAATCTTTTGAAGAATCAGTGAGACTATCACCTTCCATTGGAGTGAATGAGAGAGAAATTGTGAGCAGACGACTTAATTCTGGTAGCAGTGCTGCAAGTAACCTGCAAGGGGTTTTTGAACTAGGTTTCACAGTAGAATATAAAAGAGGAGAACATTTCATTCATATGGTTTCATAAAACAGAAGCTACATCTTGAATTTAATCTGGTATATAATGTACAGACACTGGATCATATGCATATGAGTAACCTAATCTGCAGAGGTAGCTTGTAATCTCCTTCTGTACCAACTGAAAATTCTAAAGGCTTATTGTGATTTTGGAAATTATGAACACTGAATGGATTTTTTAAAATATACAGTGCCTGTTCAGAAGAAATATTACAAAATATCAAGAAACCAATTCTATTTGTTGTCTCCTTGTAGAATAGGAGAGGAATCTGTTGCCACCATTTCTATTGATATCATTTAGGTTATAATAAAAAACTGAACATTAAATACTGATTTGTTTATTTTTAAAATTCTAGAAAAATCATTATTTTTAAATGTAATGTTAAGCAGAGAAATAGTATGTATGTTTGCTAAGAAATGTGTTCCAGAATATTCAATGGAGTCTAAATTGCAGGAGAGTGTGTTTGCAGCCTTTCCCCCTCCCCTCCACTAAGAAAAACTTCAAAACCTTCAACAACTGATTACCTTTATTATTATTGTATGCTCCCTAGAAGGAGGTATTTCTAAAGTAAATTATAACATTTTAAAGTGAGAGGATTTGGGTGTTTTCCAAAACAATTCTAATTATATTTCCAGTTGTTCATATCTTTCTGAACCCATGGAAATTAACAGTGCTTCTTTCAGCAGAAAAGCTATAAGCAAATAGGATTTTATCTAAAACCTAATATACCACTGACCAAATCCAGTTTCTTTAAAAAAAAACACTGGCTAATTAGTCCTTTAAATGTATTACCCATCCACCCCGTCTTGGCTCAAAAATGCTGCTGTTGCATAGAACAGGCTGTCTATTTTATGACGGGTGTAATCTATCATGAAATAAATGATACCAATTGTGGTGTGCAAGGAACTAGACCTAATGGGCAAACTGCAACTGTGGCATTGGTTTGGCAGGTTGCGACTGCTCTCCATCTGTATCCTCAAGGAAGTGTGATACTCATGCAAGATATTTCACATGATAGATATGAAAATCAAACCACAGGTTCATTCAAAAGCTCATTTTTATCAGCAAGTAAGGGATAGGCAAACAACCCTCAGAACTGGTGGGGTTGAGTAGCCAGTGAAATAAAAGCCGAGATAAACAATAGATGGAACTAGCTAATTCTGATTTTGTATACTTCCTCTGCTCTTGCAAGGATAATGGGCCGTTTGCCTTGTTACTCTGGCATAATGCAAATGGGGTAACATTTGGAGGTGTGTTGCCTTAAATTAAGACATCACTGTAGACGTTGCCTGTTGCATACTGAGTTCTGTGGCTCAAGGTGCAGTTGATAATGTCTGCAGTGATTTCTTAATTTGTGTCAGTTTGCCTTCAAAAGCATATCTCATCCATGTACCTTCACAAGAGGATTTTGACCAGCATAAGCTGCTTTGAGAAATTCAGTTGGGGGACATAGATGCAGCAGATTAAAAAAAAAAAGCAGTTAAATAAATAACCTGGAACTAAATATGTGTTATGAAATAGTTGGCTTTATGGAAATAGATGTCCCTATATATAATATGTAAAAACAGGTTTATGTTAGGCTTCCTTCAGTCTCGAAAGACTATGGTAACACGCTTGTTAGGCTTCCTTTGGAACAGCATCTAGTGTGGCTGAGAAGGCCAATTCGAGAGTGGCAATCCCTTCCACACTGAGGACAAATACAATCTGTACCCTGTCCAGCTCCCTGGTTTTGCTGGTTTTGGGACTGCCTCTTTGCCTTAGCCTGCTGGACAAGAGTCTCTTCAAATTGGGAGAGGCCGTGATGCAACGCCTGTCTCCAGGCTGAATGCTCAGATGTCATCTGTTGAGGTCCATTCCTAAAACCTAATGATAAATGATGCAAGAAGCTAGGTTTTGATTAGTTTCATTTTATATTTTTCTGAAGCTACAGTAGTTATATAGAGAAAGAAATTGATCAGCCAAGTATAAAAGAAAAAAGAGGAGGGTGAAATGATAGAATCTGGAGGAAGGAAAAAATGTTAAGAATATCAGAAAAGCCCTGTTAGATCAGGCAGAAGAGATGTCCAGATCTGTATTCTGTGTACACAGTGGGGAGCCAGTCACATGTGAGAGGTTCACAAGCACAATGTGACTGCAACACTCTCAGTCACAATTTAAAGTCACTGTTCCCAGCCTTTATTTCTAGATGTAATATGCAGGAAGTATCACCAGGAGTTGCTGCTAGCCCCAACCTTTGTGAAGAGTTTGAGTGTGAAGAAATGATGGCTAGAGCCAATGCCTCAGACAAAGAACTTCCTGAAAGAGATGCCACAGTGGGATCTTTTGAAGAAGCAAATGAAAAAATAATCAGTGTTGTGGCTAATCTTGCAAATGAAAAAGAAGAGCTGAATAATAAATAGAAACAAGTCCAAGGAGAAATTGGTTATTGAAATGAGAAAGGAGATGATATGAGGCTGCAAAAGACTCAGTAGGAAAAAAAAGGCTTTTGAAAGAATCCTGAAAGGGCAGGCTATGAAGAAGCGAATCATAAGAATCTGCTCCAAAGGGGCGACACAAGTGAGAAGAAGGTCCATCTTCTCCTTTTCTTCTTCCCCTGCTTTAGTTGTTTCCTTGTCAATTCCAGTCCTTGTAGATACTGTGCTTGCAATTCAAGGTCATTTGGGGTTTCCTGCTCTAATTTCAATGTCAAGTTTTCAACATCCTTATATAGTTTCTCTTTCTTCTTAAGCAGTTCATTTCATTTCTGCTGTCGGTGTTTTAGAGCACAATCCAAAGCAAAATATTGTCTGCCTTTCCATCCAACAAGCAGTTGCCTTCTGAAAGCTTCTTTTCCATTCTCATCTGAAAGCTTCTTTTTCATGTCTTTCATGGCTTTAGACTTGGATTCCTCAGTGGATTTATAGATGTTGTTTTTGGTTGACTTTGGTTTCCTTCTGTTGTACTTCTTCTTGCACCAGTTTTGCTGCTTTTATATTGTCTTTTTTTTTCCAGAGAAAAAAAACATTGGGAGTGGGGTCGCACTACAACATCCTAGCATGGCAGTGTAATTCTTGGAGTCCAGTCAAGTAACATCTTTAGTCTCTGCTTCTTTCCATGTTGTTGTTCTCCTTTTTCAGATTTCTGAACCTCTCCTGTAATTTTCTTTTCTCAGTTACCAATTCAGCCAGCATATTCTTTTTTTCACTCCTTGCAAATTATACATTTAACCCTGTAGCTCCCTGATAGTCAGTCCCTCCTTCATAAATCTGACCTCTTCCTTCAGATTCTAGAGCTTACAGTCGATTTGAGACAATTCTTTTCAAGTCTGAGCATACCATTCTCCAAAACACAGTTGTATTAGAGATTTCTGTTATTAACTTCCAGAGACTGAAATGGATTTATAATTTCTCTTTGGTTCTATCTTGACCTATGTCAGATTCTTCACAGCAAAGCATAGGCTGCTTCGAGCTGCCTTTGTAGTTGAGTGATGGTTTTTCCTTTGAAAGTTGAAAGCTCTGGTTCTTCCTCCCCCACCTCCCAATCATCAGGCTTCTCCTTCCAACCTTTAGTTTCCTTTTCTAGATGAAGTTGCTTAC